GTTATCATTTCCTTCATCAATAACCTTAATCCCAGATCTCCTTGTCTTTATTCTGAAACGATACCATTGTTTACATTACCATTTTATTTGTAAATATAAAGGGTATACTAGGAATGGTAGTAGTAATTCCAACAAAACCCCAAAGAAAATTTAAAAAATGTGCACTGTTGAAGAACCCTCATTTTTGTTCTACTTGAAACCTTGAGAGGTGGTGTTTAAAAATATGTATTTAGATAAAAAAAAAAGAGGGTGCTAAAAATTTTTTTTGAAATCTCATACTCTCATACTTAATTTGTCTAAACATTTCTCAGGTATGAATTTGCACGGTGCATGGCATTTCTAGAAATTAAAAATGAATCCCTTAGGCTGATTTATTTTGAATAATTATTAAAATAAAAATATGCCCTTATTTACACCCTCAATAACTTTCATATTCACAAGTCGATTGACCTGACCATAGCCAAAATAAATGACTATGTTATGTTTTTTCTAGTGTCGTAGTTACCTATAAAGAAAATATATTTCATTGGATTTATGCATTGAATTTTTGTTAGGAGTATTGCTCAAAAAGGGACCACGTTTAACTAACAATATAAAACTCCAAGGGATTTTGCTAGATTTGTATCAGTATTTCAAGGATTGACTTTTTATTGATGTTTCAAAGTATTGAAAACAGGGATTATACAACAGGACGTAAAACTTTATTGGAGCTAGAAGGAGTGCGCTGTGAGAGTTTAAGAACTGAAGAGTACATATATTTGGTAAAGTGAAGAATACAATTATGAATAAAAACACTAGATTAAAGTTTGAACCGTATGTAAAATTAGTCGGGTCAAGAACCCAAATGTATTGTCATAAATAACCGACTTTGTTCCATATAGCAAGCCATAAAATAACTTTTGGGATACGTTCATGGAAAGTCAAGTTGAGCCCAGTGTGTAATAAAGTGTGATCGTTGCGTAATTGAAAGTTTACTCGAGGGAAATCATAGGAAACTAATCTCGAGTCACCGAATTCGATGCTTTCAGCATTTAGACTAAAATCATCAGGTAGAAACAATAAAAAACAGTTATCTAACGAGTAGGCGAGTTGTGTAAACCAGTTAAAGTTAATGGATTCTTAAGTGGATATTGAGATTAACTTAGAGAAATTACACTCCATATATAAGTTTTGCAACCGGAAGATTCCATTAGATAGCATATAAAAGCCTGTCAATGGCTTTACCTTATGCCTGGGTCACATTTGCCCCGATCCATCGAAAATAATTAGATCGGCCAGCACAATCGCAAAATTAACATTGAAGAGGGGTGGTTTGGGACTTCTTCTTTGGTAAGTAGATGGGCATATATGTGATGAAACTCAATATGCAAAAAATCCAGAGGGTCTTGATTGTGCTATCCTATGGCATAGAGCCTCTTTAATAGCAGGATTGTGTATTTTCCTCTTGATTGAGCTTTTATGTTTTGGACAAAGTATAAGTGCTGGGTTTCCGGAGGAATAATAGCCGAGGGCCTTGGTCCGAGAAAAAAAGAAAAATAATGCACTCTTCTTTGTTGCAACTGTATATTCCTTAAGATAAAATACTGTTCATTCTAATGTGTGCTACCTAAGTGGGATTTAAATATCAATTTTAACCTTCAACCCCTAATTGATTTCATAAAATACCCTTTATATTTTTTATTTAATATTATGATGTTGATTCCACTTTTGAAGAACTGTATCACAAAACACATAACCAAGTTGGCCTGTAGACCTGAACATGAATGATATTAAAATCATTGCTAATTTGCTATACTTCATATGATACTAGATAACACTTCATAAGCCGCCAGTCAGCACATTTTATTGATAAAAGCTAGAAGCATCGATGGTGGGTTGCATAAACATCTGTTAGGTACTATGAATGTATCCAGTATAAGGGTATTTATTAGAGTTGAATTATTGGATTATTGTTACACCCACACTGCACTTACCAACTTAGATTTCATGTCAGAATAACTTAACGTGACAACATGGCTTGAAAACGATGAATAACTGTTCTTTAGCAAAATGATATCCTGTACATGTATATAACACGCGTATAAACTTGTTCGCCTTTCCAACGCTGTATCACATTTTGAGATTCTACTACCAGAGCTGGCGTTAACGCCGTTTTTTGCCGTTTTTACGCATGTTTGATCAAGTCTGACGCAGAATTTTCAACTTGTTGCGTTTCACTGACTCACATTTATCCCCAAATAGACTAAGGCTAATTTCAGGCAATTAGCTCCACACATCAAAACTAAGTTTTGACCTATACCTTACCAATCAAATTATATCTCACACTCTTTCATTGGTTTGAAAACTTTTGCTGATCGAGTTTAATCCAAACAGAAACAACGAAACTGAATTTGTCGTGTACGTTTTTTGCAATTCTCGAAATGTGTAAAAATATTCATTGAAGCATCAACTCATTCAAAATGTTCTTCAGAACGATGCTATAATCGCACTTTGCCCACTTAATACAGTTTAAAGACTGAAAGAGCGCAACACTAATGATTTCCGGTTTACACTTTGGTTTTTAATTGGTCATTTTCCATTGATTTGGTTTATGTTTCATTATTGCGATACTTAAATCATGGCAAAAGTCACAGTTCCAATTTGATAAGACATGAAGTCTCATTGCAGCACATTTATTTTTGTACCCTAGATTGATCCAAAATGAGCTATTATAATAATTCAATTTGACTCACATTTTCCAAGTTTGACCCACTTTTTTAATTGAACTGGGTCATGTGACACACAAAATATTGAGCCTACCGCCAGTACTGAACTGTACCTTGCCTCAAGTATAGACACTAATTAGGCTTTTTCAAATAGAAAGGGATAGGTCCTCCCTTTATTTTCCTAAGATGCTTATTCAAAACAATGGAGACTTTAAGCGATCCTTATAAAATCGAAACGGAAACCTGTAGGTATAAATCGCCCTATACAAATGCATCTGGTTTTTCACATAAAACAATAGATTGTATTTGGAGAACGATTTGACCATTTGACCTTAGAGATAGCCTGTACATATTTGTAGTGTTTACGTTTTTCAAATATGGATCATGAGAAGCCCCTGATTAAGCAGAACCACCACGTTCTGATACCTTTGATATTTTAGAACACGATACTACCCGTCATCTTCATACAGACTGAGTCAATTACTAATCTTTAGAAATTACCATCAACAGACTGAAAAGACAAATCACGTCCAATCATAGATGATCGATAGATTGTGATAGTGTTTGCCATTTGAATTACCTTTTATGTCTTTATGCCTTGTTCTGTTCACTTGTCTATGTATGACGCCATTCGCCTTCCAATTCTGTCATATACGTCTATATTTATAGAATGAATTAGACAATATAGAGAATAGCTAAATAATCTCGGATTGAGTAATTACTAACTGCATATTGTACATTGCGAGATCAAAAGGGTGTCGATGTAAGTGCTTTACATAGGCGTTTATGAATAAACAAATAAGCTTACATCATAATACATTTTTTTTTTTAGATGGTCCAGTAAGACCCCAATGAGAGTTGTCTCGTAGTCAATGAATGGTTGAGTGGTCATGAATGTATGCATGAATGAAATTAATTGATGTGAATGGAGTCAATAAAATCATGTTAAATATTTGAAATTATTACTTGAATTCCATAAAACTTTAACTTGAAATGTATAAAATTATATATATATTGTAACCTGAAATAAAAAATATGTATAAGTTCCATTTGATTAGTAATTTAGCCCAGAGACATATTACTATCTCTCATATATCATCTCTGTTCAGTCTGTCTGTGTTTTATATCTGTTTCTAAGGCTATAAAAACTAATTGGAATTTATCGTACCTTGTCATATTTTGGAGGAATATAGTTATCTATAATTATATCAGTTAACATTCCTAGTTAATTTAACATTTCTAGTTCTCCTGATAATATTTCTTGAGAATTGTGGCGAAACATAATCTCTACGATCTTATCAGCAAAAAGTGTCAGTTATTGTTAGTTTCCTAAAGCTATTCTATGCAGAAATGAATTGTATTTTATTTGTCTTGTCTTGTACAGCTGCTATATTCAATGCGTTTTCCTGGAAAAACTTGCTTGACAACCTTGCTCTCGAAAGTCTAGCTATAGAGCATAATAATGAGAGAAATAATATAGAATCTTTCATGGAGCCTTTCAATCATTCTTGAATGTGTATCACAATATTCACCGTTAATAAAAATCTAATTTGCAATTGTAATATAAAGACAGGTGTATATAAACCATCATTTTAGTAATAAGGTTGATTTTATATGCGTATGCCGGAAGTGAGGAAGGTTTGACATGTTTTGTAATGCAGCCTGCGTAGGATAGACGTCTATACCCATTATAGGCCAACGGAAAAGTAGTATTAAGCTAAGTACTTTCCCTGTCCCTTGGCCTATGATACCCATACATATGTATTCCCCTGTTGAATGCTCAGATGCCACAGACTGTTGAAACAAATGGATTATAAATATTGTATTCATAGTTTTTCTTATTCAGATAGTTTATCTATATGATGTCAGATGCATAATGTATAATTCACCCAATGCTGTACAGGTTACAGTTACAATATATACACTCCCCTTCATAATATCAAAGCCCAAATTCATTTGTTTTGATATCAGGAAAAACTAACTTGTCCTCCAAATTAAGTTTTGGTTTAAGTAAAAACTAATTCATCCCCCAAATTAAACCTGCGGTACCAAACATTTTGGCAATAAAAAAATCTCATATCTGATAGATGGGTCGTTAATAGCCTATATAGAAAGGGAGTGTACCGACCTTTTTATATACACTATTAATGCTAAGTTCAATGATGATTATAATAATGTAACAAAACGTTACTGTGGATGTGCACGTTTTGACGGCATAGTTAGCGAGAGTAATTGTATAACTCAATTCGTCATATCCTGCATTCATAACATTAATTGTATATCATGTACTTTCAGTCTCCCAACTGGCCGTCCCAACTAACCTTACAATAACTGATGTCTATGCACGCGTTGCAACCGCTAGATGGAGTTACCAGAGTTCTCGCAACATTTCCCACTTTGAAATGACATTAGAATTAATATCATCACCAGAGAATGATCTCCGCAATAAGTTCATAACTGATGTACCAAAGAGCATGCGCTTATACCAGTTTTCTGACCTTATACCAAATACAACATATTCCATTCAACTAGCGGCCATGGGGACCCATAGAGCGGGTAATTCAACGAATCCAGTTACGTTCTCTACGATCATGGGTATGTATGACATTCAAATCAGAAACACAGGGATCACAAATAGGGAACGAGGGTTAGGTTATGAATAAGGAGGACTCAAATTTAAAAAAACAAGGACTCGACTAAAGAACATATAGGACACAAGGGGCATAAATAGGAGGAACATAATGATCACACAATATGATATGTAACATTTAAGGACTTTTTGCTGTAGAGGGGGGTGCCGTTGTTTTTTGACACCCTGTACACGTAATTTAGAACATGAGGGGCCAAAATCAGAAACATTGGGTGGTCAAAAACCTGTCTCATCCTCCTCATCCTTATTATCTCAAACTAACATAGGGGCACAAATCAGGAATTGACGATGTGACTGTTAATTGAACACGGGGGTGCAAAAAGGAACATATTGATTGGGCACAAGTCAGAAACATAGGGGACACTAATCAGGAACATTGGGATTCAAATTAGAAATATTGGGAGAAACAATGGAATCGTTTGAGACCCATCTCATCCTGCTATTGGTTATTTTCACAAAACCAAGAGAATCGATAATAACTTCAAAATTTATTACTTGCTCCTTCAGTTCTATAAAGTACATGTATTAAATATGTTGGTATTCTTTACATATGTTGGTATTCATTTATTGTTGAATATAGCGTGATATATATTTTATAGATTGTTATGCCAGTGAGTTGCCTTAACATTAGTTTTATTGGTTTCTCATTTAATTTTACTTTTAAACCGTAATTTGGCTTGTCATTAATCTGTAATTGGAAATAACAAGGAGCATTGGCTCCCAGAGTGCAACATCGATATTCTATCCCTTATATGGGCATGCCGTGATACAAAATTCGAATTCAAACAGCCGCCATTTTGTTCACTTCACCATTTGAATCATGAATTTTGGTTTTATTTCACTACTTCTTCTGAATCTTATAGAATTTATATAATTTAAATTCAATATTGTTTTCGAAACTACTTGTATGATAGCATTTTTAATGAGTATGTTTTATTTCAGAAGATGATATCGCTGAAAATGAGGCATCTATGAGAACAGGAGAGATCATCGTCATAGTACTTATTTTAGTAGCCTGGGCATGCGCATTAGCGCTCTTTTATCATAAATGGAAGGGTATTCGTGTTTTACAACCACCTAATCCCAGGTATAAACACAGCCCCAAAAATTTAGACACCATAAAAGTGGTTAAGCGTGCTACAGATAGCGTTATATACAAAAGCTACACTAGACAATATTCAAAGACTCTACTTGCAAGGGAGAAACACATTGCCCGTATGAGCACTATGCCAGAGTTGGACCATTATCCCGGACAATTAAAGATTGATAGCTCAAAAAAACAAGGCACTATGAAGGATGACGCGATGCGTAAAGACGACACAAAAGGTAGTGCAATACCGATGCACAGAGTACAAACAATGCCTATGATGCTGGAAAAGGATGAGGACCAAGAAAACACTTCTCAAGTAAAACATAAGGATGACAAACAAACCAAAGATCGGCAAGACGTCTCCACAGTATGAAAGCCCATATGTGATGCACAGTAATGTACGGCGGGTGGGTTATATGTCTGCCGTCTCGATAGTGCAAAAAACAAAGGTAGTACACACTGTAATTCGTAGATCTTGGGTTCTGCCTGCCGTCTTGGCAGTATAAACCTACGACAAGTGCGTCGCCAAGATTTAAAAGCAGGCGAGACAAACTAAATCTTTAGGAATATAATACTACAATTGGGCTTTAATTTCACAGTCTCAACAAGAAAACACATGAAGAAATATTTTGAACTAAGCCGCCTGCGGTATGTGATACTTATCTGCTTATTGTACTGTCAGATAAATTATACCTTTTAGGAGAGTTGGATAGGCGCAAGTTGATGATACACATGTACACAAGCATATATTATAGACTATTAGTTCTAGCTGGTTCTAGAATGTCAGCATATTATTGTGTTGGCTATGTTGACGTGATGCAGTCACTGCATATACTGCATAGAAAGTCTAGAAACAAGAATTATAAGTATCAAGAATTTTATTAATGCCGTGGTCACATTTGCTCCGATTTTCAACACCGGCGCCCGGCCGATGTATTTTGTTCAAAATTGAATAAAATTTTGAACAAAATACTCAATCGGCCGGGCGCCTTTGTAAAAATCTGAGCAAATGTGACCACGGCATAAGCCACTGCCGTTAATTCCACAGATTTCACTATTCAATATGGGCCTACTTAGTCTTATTTTCACCATGATATACGTATTTTTGTCTGGAGAATTATAGAACATGGCAAGAAATTATTCTAGCCATATTGAGACAAATAGATGTCGTCTTTCATTTGACAATTCTCTGTCGGACTATAATTGTTTTTCCGTGAGCAATTATCTATCTAAGTTGCAAACCCTGTACTATATGTCATTATTGTATATATGTACCTCTTTGGTATATTACCTCAATGCGGGGACAACTTTTATAATTGTGATATCATATAATTTAGGCGGTGCCTTCATGCACGTCCGCCCTTCCTAGTTTAAGCATACCAATGACGTGTCTATTAATGGAGGGACCGTTTGAAAAACTGCGTCTGGTTAAATTTTTACTGTATGCATTAATTCTTTTCTTTTATTTCCCATCATTCAAACAAGATTCAAAGGAGATTCGCAACAGTCTATTTCCCTTACTGGAATTGACAGAGGTAACACTGAAGCAAGATTAAGGATGACTTTGGCCTGCTTAGATATCTATAAAGTATAAACTATTCAGCCTTAATCCATAATTGTGGATGATTATTGCTCCAATTTAAACGGTTTTCGGTCTAAGGGATGATTGGAATTACGTTTGGGAAATCTACCATATATTTAATATAATTGAAAGGTTTTGATTTATGGCTTTGCGGAGTCCGACTATAATAAAGTATCCATTCAAATTGGATATCGACTTAACTGTCTTGTCCTCAACATATATGGTAGTGATTGCACCAATTCTCGGGGAATGAAGGTCTCCTATGTCTACAATTTTGTGATATACATTTTAAATGGTTGGTTGAATAAAGGCGCTGTTTCCCTGAAATGTATTAATTGATAAATGATTACAGCTATTCACGAAATGTTACAATCATGTTCTCTTAGTCAAGAGTTTTGTATATATACTTTGTTCAAGATATGTCGTCAACGTTCAATATCATATTGTAGTATTTGTAATTTTTTTAATAAACATGAATATTTTTATGAACCTTTGTGTATTTTATCTTATTTTGCATTCCTTCATGTTACAAAATTTAACAGCTTAATTAATCATGCAAGCAGTAAACCCTTTTACAAATAATAAAGATCTAAAAATAAACTTCGAGAGGACACTCTGCATTTTCCGGATCTCAGTCTAAAAGACGATAAAACATCGCCTTCTCCAGATATAAACCCTGGATGTTGTGTTCAAGAACTTGGTATATATCATGCACTTGCATAATTGTTTATAAATAATTATGATATCAGTCTGGGCCCAATATGTGATGTGATACCAACAAAATGCAAATACTAAGAATTTTCCAAAAATGGGTCGCTATTTTTAAACTACAGTCAATTTTGAAGATACAAAATGCGTTGACATAAATAAAACACATGGATAAAAGTTGAATGAATTTGAAACGAATTTTCTGGTTTCAAAATGAAATTATCCAAATATTTAGACATTTAGAGACATTTTTCGTATATTAAACACTTATATTTTGGTGTTTGTTTTATCGTAATTTTGCTTTTCCACAATGTATGTATCTGCATCTAAAAATGTCATGAATTATGCATTTCTGGTCAAATAGAGCTATTAGAGTAGAAGTAATCAACATTCGGTTTTTAATTAATTAAATCAGATTTTTAGTAACAAATAATTTACAATTTATACATATTTTATTGATGTTACAACTCATGCAGATATGAACACTCTATTACCTCTATCTAAGTGCTGTTTGTTTTCTTTACTTTGACCATGTTACTAAATATCAAATAAGAGAATACCCCACTTATAATGAATAAAGATCAGTACTTTTAGTACATTGATCTTCAATATAGCTTAAGAGAAAACCTTTTACAAAATCACAAAAATATTTTTTCTTCTTTTCACAACCTTTATTTTACTAAACAGGACGTTTCGGATCCCGTCTGGATCCTTTTTTCAATTGTATAAAAACTTTAAATCTACAAAATATTTCGCATTTATCAAGCACAATTATCCAATTTTTCGAACTTCATTCGATGGCATTTTGCAGCGATCAAATATCAAAGAATAAGTTTATTTTTATGGGTGTTATCATGACCGCACAGACAATATACTTCTGCCTCTAAATCAATAGTTATATAATATGCGTCTGGGGAAAATATTTTATGAAATATCTCATTTAGCACTATTTCATGTGGTCCCAAAGGTTGTCCTCGTCGATGTAATTTTTAATTTCTTTCTTTTTCACCACTTTGATGTGTTTCGAGATGTCATTACTCATCCACGCTTGGATAATCTTCCATATCGCTGAAAGTAAGAGCAAATCTGTATAATTTATTCCTGAAAACAAATTCAAAATACAAACACGTAATTATTATCAAATCGTTTTATAATTTACTCGTTCAATTACAAGTAGTGAACATAATAAAAAATTAAAGCCTTTCATGTTTGAATCCTAATTTTATTCTTTAATAACAATATAGATCAAAAATGACGTTACATTTGGTGGATGATAGAATTGCCAAACATCGTATGTAAATAGGGGGCATTTTTGTTTCCAACCCTTTGGAAGGGAGGATGAACAGTTAGGAGCTTCAGCTTTTTATCATATTCTTTTTAAGGATACCATACCATCACTTATTCTCTTCGATGTATTATATGAGTATTTTGGATGATAAAAGAACAACATTGGTTATTTGATCGTAAATATATCATCCATCAAGTCAGTATTTGTACTTCGAAATCATTGTTGTTATCTAAAGAATCATTCGTTGTGACATCTTTATTACGACGTTCTAAATTCTAGATACACAGAATTTCAGCTTGTAGCTAAAATGCTATTGAAAATATTACTTACGGACTAAAATTGCTGCCATATCGTATAGAACTACGTATGCTGTAAAATCAGATGTACATGAATATTTTAGAAAGAATGTCACACAATACATAAATATTGTAAGGAAACAACCATGTAATTTACCCAGCATGCCCAAAACCTATTCAGATCTTAGTTTTCTCTTGCATCTATAAAAATTCAAATTAAACCGATGAGCAAATTTTTTTGAAATTTTGATGGTTTATGAAGCGAAGATTTGAAGATTATTACAATGTTATTCGTAATGGTATTTTGGTGTAACCGTGGGCAACTTGGTGGGTGTGCTTTACAGGCAAGAGCATTAGGCTGGGTAATTCATTTTCACATTATATTCCACTTCCGTTTAAGCTTTCTGTCACATAAAATTCAAGAATAAACTTATTATAAATAACTTAGCTGAATGTTATATTGACAAAAGATTACCCTGCCTTTTCATAGACTTGAAGGTAACAGTTATTGCTCTAGTTTTAAGCCTACAATGCATTCACGTATATTTTGCTTTCTGTTTGATCAGAGGGATAATGTAAATACGCTTACTTCGGGATCTCTACTTATAGTTGATAGTTCATAACTGACGCAAAAATGCTCATGTTATAATTTTTTTATAGTTCTAACGTATGGACGGAGGTAATAAAAACCTAATTAGTATGGCAATGCAGGTATCAACTTACCAATAAAATTAGGCATATACTGGGCAACTGTAGAAAGCACAAACTTTGTCAAGTCGTTGTCCTAGAAAATATTTTAACAAGTATTCTATAATGAATTTATTTTTAATGATTTGTACGCCTGAAGATCACTAAGGTCAAATAAATTATATGTCTCTGTTCTAACGTTAAAAATTAGTTAATTAATAAAGTGGGACAGAGATGCCTGTAAGTAGGGGTAACCCTACTAACGCATATAATACACGTACATATATTCTAAAAACAATACAGCTTGACAATAAAAAGTTATCACGCTTATGAGAATGATGCCCTGAGTATGGACACTATTAATTTAGAAGGTGGATGTATGCGAAATGCGTTGCCATGTACTCACAATATGAGCAGGTGTAGATTTATACAGGTCAAAGACAAGAACAAACTTTTCATCTGGATTCGCTTTTGCCGTTTCGTCAAGTTGAAACGCTATGAACTTCTTAACAAGTTCTAGCCTCGCTGGTTCCTTCTTATGCGTATTCACTTTGAAATAGACTGGAAGTAAATATATTGACTTTAATACACGATTCCGTATTAAATATAAAAAAAATATTCTAGTCTATTCTAAGAATTCTGTCCACAATGTCATAAGTTAAGATATATAAAATGGGCCTCTAAACCAAATATTGGGCCAAAATTTTGAGAATCTGAAAAAGGCCAAGATATGTTTTTCTGGGCCCACCTAAGGGGGAGTACCATGTCGCCCCTCCACCCCCCTCCCCCATGGATTCGCCAGTGCATGTTACTAAACTTTTTTGTACATCGTGTTTGATGTAAAACGTATGTATCGTCCTTTTAAAATAGTGTAACAAAATTTGCTGATTTTGCATAAATGTATGTATTGGTTTGTAAATGTTGACGAAGAATTGCCAAAATGTTCATATTTTTTCACATTCACCATTTTTCCTAAAAAGCCCGCATCAGCAAATATCTGATGTCAAACTAGGAATCGATGCATTCGTTAATTACTAAAATGAATTTTGCTGTAGCCATGTGTATACTTTCGATTTTCAAATTAACACCTTTCCCATAGTCAATTTGAAGCTGTGCCTTATGATGTCAGTGAGGATTTGCTCAACAAAATTTCGATTTTTAGCACGTAAACTCTGATGAAGCTACTCACAAATCATATTTCCACTCTTATCTTCGTTCTTGACGTACAGACCTTCGTCAGCTCTTTTGTGAAGATCATCTGGGAAATCGTCCTTTTTCAACTCTGGATGAAAACAGAATTAAATACAATTTTCATCTTCCTCTTAAAGCTAGATGTAATACCATTGTAATACACCTTGGATGCACATGTGGCTACTATGTGGTGTGTCATTTGGGATTATCTTCCCGAAGCCAATCAGAAGTATACTATGTATTCGTTATGAAAATGTGAAATTGAAGATTTAATCCTAAGAGTATGGATATTAGTCCATGGTATGACTTCCGAATATGAATGATCCGTAGCACACTCTAGCGCAGCAACATTTGAAGCAATATTTATGAAGGTGTACATGTCTTGATTCTTTCAAAATACTATTTGCTGAAAAAACTTCCGGCTTTTGGGTCGAAAAATGTCTTTCATCACAAGGGGTCAAAAAACGTAAATATTTTGATTCGAACTTTTATACATTTTATAAGACACAGACCGTTGTTCTAAGCATACAAACAAAAATAAATTATCATAATCTAAAGATATTCTATTTAATTTAACCGTAGATGTCGGTGTTTAATTAATTTAATTATGTAAGTGTGTTTTTCAGATTTTGTTTGATTTTTCAAATATGAGCCAAGCCGATTCAACAAAATTATGTGGAATATTTAGGTAATTCAAGGGAAAGATCAATACCCGGTGATTTCAGCGGGAAGTGGCGTTTCCTTCAGTGGATGAGCTGCGCGCGCACGCATAAATGTGATTATCCAATATAATTAGGGGAGGGCTATTTGAAATAGTTTTTGGTCTCAGGCGCGACCCAGGGCTGTTGTCTTAAGGACATTTCGTTGAAAATGAGCCATTCGGCTGATAATTGGTAAGAGTTTGCGATCTTATAATGTATAACTGTTACTCAGACACATATTTTGACACGATTCTGTTGGAAATACGCTTTGAACCGAGAGATATTCACGATTGATATGCACATTTTTGATTGTGCCATTGCTTTTCCATTGCACAATCCATGTATTGATAGAAGAAACATTAATAATGCAGATTGGTTTACCTTCAATACATGGCAGACACTACATATCGGTCTATTAATACCAGTTTGTGCCTTAAATAGTTTTATGATGCAAACTCGACATTATAACTCATGCTGTAACATTTTGACTTCGCTGGAAAACAATAGGAATTATTTTTCTTGCCAATCAATCATGAATCACAAATCAAAATTTCAGAATGAGCAATCAGGCAATGATCCAAATCAAGTTATAACATTATATGATATTCAGCAAGAAGTCCGGTAGAAATACAGAATATTTAAACATCAAAGCTGAAAGTTAAAAGCTAATCTGTCAATTTTCTGTCTGCAAAAGAGCGTTTACATTTGACACAATAACAGACTGAGGCTTTGAAATCCAGGATTCCCCAGGAAAATATGACGTCATACTAATTAGCATAAGGATTTCCCTATTGGTCTGGGTCGAGCCTTGTTCGAAAACACAATCCATAAATACATGCTAATTTCTAAGGAGATAGGAAGTGTATAACGAGTTTATCGATTTTGTTTAAAGATTTAATCAATTATCAAATTGTTTAAGTGGATAAAGTGGTCACACTTGCTTCAATTCATAGCGAAATCGACGGATAGAAACTGACCGAATTCCCGATATTCTACCCCGTATTACTGTAGGCTATAAGAACAGTGACCTACAGAGGGCGCTATCACAAACAAGTACTGCACGAACCGATAAATTCCCGGGTATTGTAACGCCCTTGGGTAATTTATGATTGGGAACATATTAGTTTTCTTACCATTTAAAACATTTTATTACCAGAATTTTTCCATATAATCGGAAGGGGTCTAACAACAAATTATTGTTCGTGTTTTACAAAACATAATACAATAACAAATAGGTAAGATTTATATCTAATTAAATGTTACAGAGGTATTGGAATGTTCATATATACAAAGGGCATGTCTAATAATCAATTAGAGTCATATGCAATCGAACGCCCTGGAATTCTTCCTCGACGTTACTTGTGGCTATCATCAAGTTTTCTGATGGCTGTTTGTTTTTTGACCTTACCGCTGGATACAATCAAATTTTAGGAAGATAATGATAACGATTTTCTCAATCATTCGTGAATTCGATCAAGTCTTGATGGTTGTTTTATAAGCAACTGAGCTATATCTAACTACGAGAAATAGAATTTTAGCTGTAGTCCCAATTAGTCAAGGAAGAGCAATAGACACTCCTTTATTGATCATGTTCACCGCGGAATAAGAGTCCATATCTCAAAACGTATTGAGACACATTTTGTGAAAAACTAGCATAATTTAAGCATTTGTCATTCTAATATAAAAGTGATTCATTTGTTGCATTTATCTTATTAATACCTGAGAAACAATACAAAAGGTCGATACACTGATTACATAATTTTTTTGGTATTGATAAGAAAAATAACCTCAAACTTCTAGCTTGGAAAACTAAATCATATATGTTAAATCATTTTGTATTATTTTCTGTTTCGTTGTGTACTCCAAATTGTGAAAAAATGGGATTTTATTATTTGCTAATTTTTTGACCTCTGTTAATGGCAGGCATAATTCAGCCTAAAAGCCGGAAGTATATGAAACGGTAATAATAAAAATTATTAGCGAACATATGTAGGTATGTTAATATTAGGTCAAATATCGCTGCGCTATAGTGTGCTACCAGCTCCTTTATTAGACGTCCTAGAGATTTCATACCATGGACTATATGGTTGAAGGTATACTAATAACATGTAGGAGAATTTTTACTCTTTGCATTCATTTGACTTCACTTCTTAAAAGAGAGCTTCGCCTTGTAGTTTAACTAGACTCTGCACGCAGGGTAGGGAATTTTATCCATCCTCATTTCATTTCAAAGAGCTTACCTCCCACCTCGTAGTTCTTTCTCCACTTGAGTACCTTGTCTACCATACTGCATGACTTCTCCAGGTCGTTGTCCTGGTGGGTGAGAAACTGCTTCAACCACTGGTCATCTGTTTTAACTCTTTCTAAGTCCTTCAGATTGTAGTTACTGCTCTGAGACACTATATCACAAAGAATGTTTGTAGTATAGCAATCATCACAGTAGCATGCTTTACGTCACCTCTAAAATAAGAGCTGAGTACAATGACCTTATAATTGCATATTAGCATGGCATCTCCTGGGAATCCTCTTCTATATATACAATACTCTTATAATAACTTGATGTTCAGCATATTCAACGTATTGCTAATAATTATTTACAGTTTCAGTTATGAAGCTTACATGGCTACATATAACTACTGGACGATCTAAATTCTTCTGCTTCAGCATTTTTCGTTTTTTCACTTTTGGGCCTTAATGGACGCTTTACTGCCAATTTAAAAGAGGATTTAGTGCAGGCCTTGCCCAATTTAAAGGTACATGTACATACCTCAAATGTGCCACACTGCGTATAAATAACATTTTGACACCTATAGTCCGACCAAAAATCCATTTTCAAAGGGACATGTTCATTTATCTTACATAAGACTGTGTAATTGGTCTGGTCATCAAAATTTCGTGAAAAACGAAAATTTAATGGTCTTTTATTTTGCAAATAAACAAATAGTCATACTTACGAGAGTATACGAATTATTTGTGCACTACCCCCCCCCCCCCCCCCGAGTTACCCAAAAAAATATTTTAGAAAATCGAATTCTGCAATTCACGGCTGGCTGATTTCGCCAGTATTGCTGCATTTACCATTGCACCGAATAGATGTTGTGTGGATAACGCAAATTTTACCTAACATTTCTCCAATAAGTATTCTTATGAGAAAAAAACACTTCCAGTCTTAAATTAAGTATTACAAAATGTGAATCCAGGGGTCAAAATAACCCTATAAAATCAAAAAGGCTATTGAATACAATAAACATATAATGCCCAGAATAACTGGGAAACATGTGATCATAACAGCGGACGGTAAAATATTTGAGATTATTTTCTGCGGATGGATGAGCTTGGTAGTGGTGAATTGGTCAATGTACATACTAAATATGATGACGTTTTGGCACTCCAACTATGTAAGAAAGCACAATTTTTGATTTTCGTGGGATATTTTTGTTGAAATTTTTTTAACATTTAGTTGATATGTTTTGCTGTATTTCTCTGAAATTCATTGAAAATCGATGGGCTGCGATTTATTAAACATGCATATCAATGGTCCAAAAAGTAAGGAGAGTTCTACATAGTTTATTGGGACAGGGACGCATGCGCAGTGTTGATTTTTACTTTTTCGAACACTTTGATCAGATATCACATTTTCATTTTGGAACGTGTACCAGCTGGATTGATCCTAGCTTTGAGTTTTGATTTTGCTGAAAATAGTACGTTAAAATGAATACTTTACCTGCAAATTTCTCGAGAAACTTTTCTCTCAGCTCACTCGGGGTCTAAAGTACAGAAATATGGTGTTCAGGTTTACAGAGAGTGGACTGTGATAAATTGTCAAGAATAACATAACAAGTCGACATATTAGAAAATCTATGTTCGCTATCCTCAAATATTTGCATTCACACTTTGTTAGGAGAGACAATACACATTAAGCATACTTACTGTCGCCATGTTGAAAGAAGATCAGGTCGAAACACCTTATTACAAAGTTTATTTATACGCGTCTTAAGTACGAACTATGATCTCTAATTAGTTAATGTCCCCAATGCCAACACAAGTAAACGTATATGTCAGCCTACTTTAGACAAAACGATATGTTACCTTCATATGAATAAGTAATAAATATTGATTGACTAGAGCCCCGCAAAGATAAGTAATATATCATATGATACAAAGTTTAATATGGCTCTCTCAACAATCTCTTCAAAATCATATTAATTTAATCTGTCTGGCCTATATAATCACAACGACCTAATAATTACACATGGGCATGGCATAGACGTGACCTTGGCTGGTCCTAGAGCTAGAGTGAAATGACTATAGATATCTTTTTATCACAAAGAATTAAATCATTAGAAATAATATAATATGAATAGATTTGCTGTAAATATTGGAGAACATTTTAGCCGAGAATTATTAGATGACTTTCTGTACAAAAACATGTTGGAATGATTCGAATCATATCAATATTTCAGTAGATTTTACGTTACATTAGAGTTTGACAAGAGTTTTAAAAACCAAACAATGAGACAATCAGATTTATGACATATGCTTATCTAATATAATCCCAACTCTTCAATTTTATATTAATTCAATTTAAACTGTATTGACTTTCCTAAGTTTTTCAAATAAACCTTGTCTGGTGTAAAGCTCATATTTGTTTTGTTTTGGCTTGCTATAATGTTTCATTTATTCAAAAGGTTGTTATCGCCTGTTGTATTGATACATAGGATCACTATCGTATGTTCTTGGATGTAAATGTCAGAAATAGTACCATAACCAATCAATATTGAGACAAACAATAAATCGCGAAGGAGGAATGGATCCCATGGTTCTATGGTATTGATAACAACATCAAAGACAATTTTTCTAGGATATTTATAATACATAAATGATGTTCCAAAACTTTCCGGACCGGTCAGCTTTTATCACCAAATTAGAAAGGATTATTAGTGGAATTCTGAGCGAAAGAAATGCAGTTCGATTTTCTTCTGGGACGTGATCAAACAATCTTGACATATTCATCTTCATATTACCTATTTTTGATTTAAAAAATGAACACAAGTATGCAAATATTTAAGCAGATGTCGCAAATAACATATTTTTGGTAAATAAAATCGTCGGTTATAAAACCCATTTTATATGCTTCTAAATGACCCCCCCCCCCCCGCTTCATCAAAAGAACAATGTCGGCATTTTCTTGACTCGAAAATTCACTTCCAGTTCTTCGAAATAAAGATGAGCTGAAAATTGCCATGTTCTTGTGGACGGTGTTTGGCAGTCGACGTTCATCATCTGTAACAAATGGCATGTTAATACGTGGTCTCTTTCGTAATATTTTGTTGAACAGTGTCAAAATTCGTGATTGACACTAATTTTATATATCTGTAAAAATATATATGCACACAATACTAGTGTAATACTAGTGTAAGGAACGAAATCACAACCATCAATCAACTGGTCATTGGCAATAACCAACAACATTATCTTCATACTCCTGCTTTATGGAAATATAACAATTATTTATGGATGATTAAAGAATTATTGATTATGTAGACTTTATCTAGTGAGTACTTACCAAATAGCATTATGCTAAACAAAATGTAATCGATCCTTTCTTACAACCACTATTGGAAGAGTATCTTCACAGCGACATGTTGGAGAAAACCAGTCAGCTCGTTTGGGGTATTTTAGCATTGATTGCGACCTGTACCGATTCTGCAGAAGGATGCACGTGCTATGATAATCACCCACAGCAGAAATTCTGTGAAAGTGACTTCGGTGTGAATTTACTTTACGCTTAATACTATGCAGATATTTCACGATTTACGGATTATTTGATAGTTATAATAATATCAAATGTTTGTTTTATTATAGTGATAAAGGGAGCGATTCGCAACGTAAAACAGTTTGGACAAAATGATCGATCTGGACGAATGCCACGAGTATATGTCCATAAAGTTAGAATTCATCAAATATTCAAGGTAATTGATATTTACTTGATATTACTATGAAGCAGTTAAGGAAAAGGTTTATTGTTAAATGTTGTTTTCGCTTCAATTCTATTAAATATATAATCCCTCAGCAAAAGCCCGTCTTAGTTTGTTATATTTCATACCTTGACAGATCGTTTTTATTCCACAAGAGCATTGACGATTGTCTTGTGTGTTTCATGAGCTATCACACACGGAATATACCATCCCGTGTATATTGACACACGCACCGCAACTCATCACATTAAAAGGACCTCCAAAATTGAAAACTAGAGTTGAAAAGTCTTCTTACAGAGTGGGCCAAAATAATCCTTAAATTTCATTTTGCTAAATACATTGCCATTAAAGTCAGAATCCATCAGACAAGGTAGCTGAATTATATTTATATATTACCGTGAGGCATTTGAGGAAATCTCATGTTATCTGCTCTTTCCTAACTCAAATAAATGATGATTACTACTAACTTATATAACGATATTTACCATTAATGAAACTAGCTCAATGGAGATTATCAATGTATTATTTCTATCCAGTTAATATCATACCACTTTGGATTTCATTGCTGGCAAAAATGCAATTTGAGTTGGAAGCATCTTTAGCGAAACATTCCATTGTAGGATCCACTGCAAGAATTATTCTTTGAAATACTCACCAAAGCGTTAGATAAAGTGAGACTCTGATAAATCAGAATGAATCATCCAGTTTCGGAGATGTTTTCAAAGAGCATTTCTTTCTAGTTTACAACCGGAACATTATTAGTTTGAATGACGAAATGATCTGGCCCATCCTGAATATATAAAAAAAATTGTGTAATACTATTGAATTTCTTTTATGAGTTTTTATGAATTGTACTTCTTCATCGTCCTTTGATAGAGTAGAATCATTCAACGGCATTTCGGTTGTCATATTCATGAAGTACTATTATACGTTTGAACACAGATTTGGAATGTACAAGTTGCTTTTTTGTACAGGATGTTTTATAATGACCTTTCCCCAATCAGCCACCAATCCTAAATAGCAAACCCCCATATGTCATATAGCATACATGGAAAGCTTGATATATGTTCAATTCTGGAATTATCAAAACAACTTTGATTATAGCTCAACAGTTTTTACAAAAATTTTCGGAATATAAGATAATATTCTAACTAATGTTAAAGCTGCATTAATGAGGTTTTCAAATCAAATACAAGCCTTTCACAATTATTGCGCATTCTTTTTTTAAAAAAAGTTTTTTACCCCAAAATCTGGCAAATATCCACCATCAACACGTTACATTTTGAATAATTTTTTTTGTTTTTTTAAATGCTCATCACTCAAACAATATTTGACTGCTATACTTTTTTCTTTTTAAAATAGTTTTTTACCCCAAAATCTACTTTCAGAAGCATCATTCAGCAAGACTACAGTATCTGTGGACTTAATCCTGGGAAATGAAGCATGTTCTAATTGATACAAATTGAGTTTATTATCCTAACAAAGTCCGTGAACTTATTTAAACAATTATATTCATTAATATGTCAAACCCTCGAGACATCGTCCACAGACTGGCATGTAATGTCGCTATAATGGAAATCTCGCACTAAAATAATATTTGTTTTTGAAAAGAAAACATATATTAAGTGATGATGCAACCGCCCATAAGAAGTTGTCCTCGAAGATGTTAATTGAATTACAATTAAATAATATGGCTTGACAATAAAACTATTATAGATATTATGTATTTGCAGAGTACTTATGAATTACCGTATGAAAACATTCGAATAGTAACCCCTCAAGCAGGATCTGAATGTGGCTTCTTTCTCGATGCATCCAAGACGGAGTTTGTGTTTATGGGTATGTATGTCAAAAACGTTAACAAATTAAAATACATGTATGTATTATTATCTATTCTAATTGTTTAACTGGTGTCTAATGAGACTTAATTTAATAAATGCAAAAAGTTGTTTTCTGGTTTGTTTATCATATTAAATCAAAACAAAGAGCTCGATTCTATATGACCATAGATTTTATTTTGCCCATTGCCATAAATCAAAGACTCGCAATCTGTATGTCTTTAATAAATCATTGGTTATCATATTCATTTCGGGACTCCATCGAGTATTTTGCGGTTTTAAAGGAAACTTGGAGGTAGGGGATCAAATTGAAATATAGTTGTTTAATGTAAAGGCCTGTCCAAAAGAAATTGGCACATTAGTTAAATGTATGTAGGGAGGTGGGGGGCGTCAAATTAGAAATATGATTGTTAATGTACATGGTTATCCAAAAGAAATGGTCATTGGAATGTGCATTGGCTGTGAAGTTTATAAATGCAGCATACCATGTGACTGGGTTAAACAAGTCAATATTTGATATGACCAATCTTCTCCTGAATTACATTTGAACAATTCAAGCCTGGTCCTCTGTTTCGAATTAATTCAATCAATTTGCCTTTTGTTAAATGATCGGTATGTCCGTTTTGCATTTATTTAAAGTGGAAACCATCATTTGTCATTTGAGTAGCTTTAGTGGTTATGTAATCATGTCTCTGACATGTACCCCCTTCGATACTCCCAAATATATTTGATCATTTTGGGTATTCCTTAAGTTGACATTGAAACACTAGTTTTCTACTAAACAATATGTTCAAACACTTCAATGTTTAGTTATTCCAAATGAAATATGAATAGCAATCAACATGTCTTTAGCTTCGGAAGAAAAGATGTCTGAAAAACAGTCGTGAAATTGAGAAGAGCCATATATAGAGCCAGACTACTGTACTTGATTTATTAACTATCTCATATATTTAAGGTAATTTCAATGACAATGGCGAGGCTGTAATGAATCGATGCAGTTTCTACTATGAGTGGGATAAACTTACTTTACAAGTTCGGAGATATATAGAACGTGGAACATATGCAAACCAATGCAACTGTTGCCAGGTATAGTGTTATATTTATGTTTCTCATCCTGTTTATTATTTCACAGGAAATTAGAATTACCAATACGAAATACGCCTTTCTACAGGACGACATGAGTTTATCGAGTCCCTTGAGCAGCATAACCTTGAGAAACTGTTACCCCGAAGACAAGAGGATAGAATTAATGCATTAGTGTTTGAAAACAATCTGTCATTAGAAAAAGATTGTATTTTAAAGAAAAAATTCATCAATTTTATAATGCATCAAGAAACTTAAAGTGCTTCTGTCTTAAGTAGAATGTGACAAACTCCAGGATAAATAATGCAATTAAGCACATACATCTATGTTTTTATTTTATGAAAGATATTTTACTAAAGATGAAATAATAAATGCTAGCCAGTAATGCCATTGGCGCTTGGCAGCATACTCTTGTATTATTGTATATGAATTTGTTGAATAAAGACAACTAAAACAAAACAAAAAAACGAAATGATTGATCTTTTCATATTTTTTTGCTATTATCTAATGTTTAATTTTTATTGTTTCCCTATCCATATGTATTGAATTTAGGATGACCATTTACACGTTTTCTATTTGTGTTTTCTCTCCATTGCCTTGTCGGAAAATAGTTTCATGGGCATCAGAATATTTGATATGAACACATTGTTGCTGATCAAAGAATTCTGCAGTTGTATCAAATATAGAAGAAAATATTAATTTACGTTTTTGTTTGAACTTACATTTACATTGGTAGTTCTTTTCAGATCTGTCTCATAGGTGATGGTGATTGTAAGAAGCAGTCTACCTGCCAATACATAGAACCTGGTATTACCCGTCTCCATACGTGTCAACAATGGTATTCCTACTGTGGCCAGGTGTGTAACGTGGAGTCCAATAAAACGGCCACAGACGAAGTCATGATCCATCATACATGCTCATGCCAGTGGCATGTCACGGATAGCTACTCAAGATGTATGGAGGAGAACCTTCCAACTGACTCTGCGATATGTCTATCTAATCTCGACCCAGAGATTTTTAACAATGTTAAACCTAAAAGAAACAGAGGAAAGGGTCAAACAAGTGACGATGGGCAAAATGTAAAATAAATCGAGTAGAGTGTACTTGTAAAACCTCACGTTGGCTTTACTACAATGTAACAAATATAACAAAATGGATGCATTTCCGTCGGGAAATTTTTATTATTGTCACCAAGAAGGTCGATTTGTGTCCAAACATTTTACCAATATGTTATTGGTATTATCCGGTTACTGACAAGCGAATCAGTCGCGATTATATAAATCCGAGGGCTCCAATAATCGAGTGAGAAACCCTCGTTTGGCAACCAGGACGTTAACACAACGCAACCAAGACGTTATGAAATTCATCAGATAACGTCCTGTTTGCTGAAGTGAGGAAATTTTCACTCGACTTGGAGCGCCTGGATATATTTGCTCGTTACTGACTAGGTTTTCAGTAACCGGATGTTACTTTTTAAATACGAGTAAATATTTGGATCAAGGAGGATTGGCAGCCATATTATTCAAACTCGATACTCCGTTGCTTGCAGTGGCACAATTTCGTAAACGTATTTCTATAAAGTTCTCTTTGGACCATGTATTTTGTTGAACGATGGTCATCACGAATGTTTTGGTAGTATTATCAAGCTTCATCAGCAGTTCTAGTCTTTAAGAGTAATATTGCTACCAAATTGGTCTACACCGGGCAACGTAGTATCGAGTTTGAATAACGGCTTCCAATCGTCCTTGTAGTTGGATTCAAATCGACTTCTTTGTTGCAATTGGTGAAATGATTAATGATTACCTCCTACGGAAGTTCAACCATTTTGTAGCGCCTTCATAAATAGGTGGGGACCGGTGTACATGTATCAATCGAATATATTCAAAAAAGTGGTCACCTGATAAATGATAAATAAAAGGCTATTTTGTTTGAATGGTGTAATTTACGATTCGGTTACAATTCACTTGCAATAAATGATGAATTTGACAAAAAAAATCACTCCATTCTCTAAAGGTTTGAAGCACGACGTAACCGACGATTTTGTACGTACAACCATGGCATAATAAACCCCTTCGTCTATACGGCCAAGTACTTGTTCTCGGCGTTCACATGGTGAGTGGCAGATCATTCCGCGGCTATTATTTTCTCATAAGACCCTAAGCGAATTATTTATCTTACTTAAACCCCACACTGACTCTTATGGAAGGTTAATGGTCCATGATTCAATTTGGAAATATGATTTCTTTTGTATTGACTATACTGGAGGTATGAATTTGAACATAGCACAATATTTGTAAGTAAGCTTAATCAATAATGAAGATAGCAACAAAAATTGATGAATTGTTTTATTCTAAAGAGTGCATACTAACAAGAGAATGGTACGTATTGTACATTTATATATTGTTTTTAGGGGATAGAAACTATCAAAAACTGTCAATCGTCATTTGTGCCACACTTGTTTTTTATAGCTTGCCAAATGTCCATTCTTTAAAAACAATAGAAAAGGAATGTACTTTCCTTTTGATACAACAGTATATTTTTTAAATAGACAACAGTTCATTATATTGTGTTGCTACCTAATTAAGATTAAATACTGAGTAAAACAGATCATTCTATGAAAAATTGTGACCTTATCCTATGGAAGTGGAGATTATGTTTCGCATCAAGTTTGGATGGTGATATTGTATAGCACACACTCAAGGGAATTGATTGTACTTTCTCTAGACACCAGAAATATCTCTGTCGATAAAAGAAACATTTAGGGTCCCAATCTCCTTTGTTTACATTCGTCAAATGAATTAGAAAAGTTGTCATAACATTTTGAAAGTCAAATTAAAACTATGCTCAAATTAAAATGTTCCAAAATTACAGGTCGCAGTGCGTCGATTAAAACGAATAGCATACCATTTGCATTGTACCAATTATTTTGATCTGTCCAATCAACCATAAGAAGAGAAAATGCAGCCAATCAGATGTAAACACTCAGGTGCCTAGCAAAACCAATCAATATAAATAATAGACAACGTCATACTTGTAACTCATTACACGTGCTGTTGATCGAGCTGAGCGTTAGTATGAGAGTCCTGTTTGCTATTTTGTTGTTTTCCGTGGGTGGACAAAGTAAGTTTTTTTTCTTTGTAACTATTTGAACTCTCCATTATGGCTTTACATTTATAAAAAAAACTCGTACCTCGTATTTCAGGAATAAATAACGTTTCATATACGGTCTACATCTTTCATAATTGCATAAAGAGGGCACTAGTGATCACAATGGACATGGTTTTGAAAATTCGAATTCATTCCCAAAAATAAAAATAAATTGAACATACTTATTCAAAAACCATCGGTTTTTCTTTTTATAACCGCCATTCTTGTTTCACTACATTTTGTCAAATCTTCCAGGCTACTATCGTTTAGCATTATATCCTTGCACATTCACTGAAAAAATTATACTTGTTCAGTGACCTTTCCGAAAGTACAACTATTTTCAGTTTACACTTCAAACACTACTGATTTCCGTATTTTTAGAACCGTACTACAGTAAAATTTTAAAGTGGGTACTTTGAATTTAAAAAATAAGCAATCAAATGACCAAATTGAAACAGTTTATGTAAAATTAGAAACATTTATATTAAGGTGCCATGGAAGTAAACAGGAAATGACGAAACAGAAAGTGAATTTTTTTTGCATTTTTAGACATTTTTTTAACAAAGATAACAGAGTTCTGGTTTGACCTCCAGTCCTATTTCCACATATCATTTACATGACCAGGACCACAATGTGCATGGTCAGAATGACCCTAAACATGATGAAATAACCTTTTTAGCCCTTTGAAAGTTAGTTCAACAAGTTAAACCTAGTCTGGGCCTTATTTCTTATCTGACATATCTTGTGGCCCGCCCTAGGTTTAACGTCCGTGCCTATTTGCCCCTAAATGCAAAAAAGTTTAATGATGGTCTATGGCAGCGCATGGAATTTCATGCGCGTTTAAGTAATAACTGATAGTGAGAATTTGCAACAAATGTAAGCATAGCACGGAAGTTAAACCCAATCACGGCTACAAGAACATTCAGATTAATAAATGAAAGCCGTGGTATTGGGTTTAACTTGTTGAACTATTTGAAAGTGTGACTGAAAAAAAGCTAAAAGTAGGAGCTAGGGAAGGTCACTGAACAGAATCTTTTCAATTTTTCAGAAAATGTGCCCAATATAATGCTCTAACTGATACAATCTTTGAAATTTTAGAAAATTGTCTAAAACAAAAACGGCGGTCATAAAAAGGAAAATAGATCGCTTTTCAAATCATTTTTTTCATTTTTTTTTTCTATGAATGATATCAAATTTTCAAAGATTGTATCATATTGGGCACATTTTCTCAAAAATTCAAAAGATTCTGTTCAGTGACCTTTCCTACCTCCTACTTTTAGCTATTTTTCAGTCACATTTTCATAGGGCTGAAAAGGTTATTTCATCATGTTTAGGGTCATTCTGACCATAAACATTGTGATCTTGGACCTGTAAATGGTACTTGGAACTAGTTTAATTGACTGGAGGTCAAAACAGAACTCCGTTATCTTTGTTCAAAAAATGTCTAAAAATGCAAAGAAAATTGTCACTTCCTGTTTTGTCATTTCCTGTTAACTTCCATAGCACCTTAATCCTAACTTTTGTACAGTCAGATCCATAAATAATTACTATCGATTTCAAAAAGACATTCTGCCGCACATATAATGAATTCTTACCTCAGGGAATTAGTACTATATTTTCTCCGTTCTGGAAAATACAAATACAGTATAGTGGAATTTGTGTCCATAATGACCATTTTGATCTTAAAAATTTGAAGTGATTTCCACATGTTAAATGTCCACCATTTTTGAAAATAATTGTGCATAGTCTCAAAAACAATTCTGCAACAATCCATTTTAAAATAACATTTCACCACTTACACAACTTTAATATGTATTATACCATACTTTATATGTCTTTATCAATCAATTGATACAATAACATTACCAGATATACAAATTGAACAATTTTCATTTTGGTTTGAGACTACAAAAACAATGGCTGCCATTTGAAAAGTGGATTCACATGTTTACAAACTATCCACCATACGCTGATATAAAGCATTGGAGACATTAATCCTGCTAATAATCATTTACAGGAGTATATATTCTAGCAATAGAGGAGTGTTTGGCACATTTAATATTCAAATTCAGCAAAACTGTGCTAAAAATTTCAGGTGTCTTTTATTTTTGGATCAGACTGTATATTTTAGTTTTTGTAGTTTAGCTATCATATCTGTGTCCTCTTATATTATGATACTTCTCTGCCATGTTATTTTCGGAAAAATAACATGGCTGAAACTCCCTAAATTACAAAAGGCCACAGCTTTGCTGCAAATTATACATTACTATCTGAAATATACAAAAGTTAGGATAAACATAAATGTTTCTATTTTTACATATTAAGCTGTTTCAATTTGGTCATTTGATTGCTTATTTTTTAAATTCAAAGTACACTAACATTTAACATTTTACTATAAATAGTCGAACAAAAAATGCACCAATCATCACTATCACTTTTGAACCTTCTGTTTCAGGTCTTTTTTTTCATCGGAACAATGCTGACTTAACCGATTTGTACAACGAAATGAGACAATTGCAAACAGGTAAGAATGTATTCCATCCGGATACTGTACTATGCTTGAGATTCAGCTGAATTCTCTTGGGCGCATTGGCCCTCTTACAACAATAGTTGTACTATATAATGTCTATATGTGATGTTGGCCGGGTGCTTTCATTTTGAGAAAGCAGGTACAGGTAAGCTGGAAAATAACAGTTTGGTAAAAAAATGCTATACCTGCACATGTTATTTTCTGGTACAAAATAAAGTATCAAGGCATGTGTCAATTTCCTTGCTTTTTTCAGGAAAATATCTTTACGTTGTCTTCTTTTACAATATCTGGTAGGAGTTCAATGGGAACTCCAGGAAATTCTGATATTTCACACTTTCTATTTTTCCAAACATTCTTTCAAAGTTTCCAGACAACACAGGAGCTACCATTGACCTGTTTCCAGGTTTACTAAAAGTAGACAGTGTAATGATACTTTCCTGAAAAAAGCAAGGAAATACAATGCCTTCATACATAATTTATATAGGTAGTATTGTTTAAGGTCTTCTCCATTGTTTTATACATGATGTTATATTAGACTGTTTAGGTGGATTGGTCGAGATATGGTGATATTTTTCATAAATATGACCATTGTACCACCCCAATCAAGAATCCACTTGGTCTGATATAAATTTCTGGAAACAATGT